AATTGTACCCACGAAGAGAGAGAGAGGGGAAAAGCATGAAATTTGGCTGGAAAAGAAGTCTGGTGCCGTAGTTCGTGTGCTATTGCATTTGATGATTAGTTCGTCTTTCATATCTTGTTTATCCTTCAAAGGTCATCATGTAAAATGCTAAAATATCCAGTTGGCAAATCTTTTAAAGAGCCATTTTTTCATGTTAAAAGTGAAAAACAAGTCTACATCTGAAGTTTTTTCCTTTAAAACGCTTACTTTTGACCTAAAAAACCCTTCACCGTCCCTTTCCCTTGCAAGGTCCCAACTCTCTAGTAAACTCATTCCGATTTCCACGATTAATGCTTTACTGTTCCAAGATTCAGTATGCCTTAATTTGAGGTTGCAGGACTAACAAGTGTTAACAAATTTCTTCTGCCTTTATCAGGTGTCCTTTGGAGTATGAACAAATTTTGAACCTGCAACTGTTGGGAGGACATCTGGTGTTTTGCGGGGTAGATAGAATCAATGAAGGCATTAAGCCCGTGTTTGGCCCCCATTACGGGGAAAATTTAATGTATAGAATAGTGTTTTTTGAAAAATGAGTGGTTGAAAAAGAAAGAAAAATTTTCGATTTACGTGTAATATTATTTTATGGAAAATTGGGTGGTTGAAAATAGGAGAGAGAAAAATAGAATGTAATGTAATGTAATGTAATGAAAATCAAACAAGGGCTAAGTGTCTATTTAACACTCATTAATGTATTTTATGATTTGTCACAGAATCATTTTTAATCATTCATTTACCTAATAAAATATTCTATACCGATATAAAAAAAAAAAAAATTCATACTTTTTAATCACACATTCTCCTAAGGATACTATTCAAAATTCAATTCTTTTTCCTAATTATTAACAATAAAAGATACTCTAAACTAATTACCATGTTATTGTTCAAGAATTTTCTACCACTATATCAAGGCCTTGTATGTATGAAATTTATTTTGTGAAGACTGATTTACAATAAATTTAAAAGATTGGAGATGTATTTTATTTATTTTTTTTTTAAAAAAAAGGCCAAGTTGAAAATTAATGGCTTGTTTGGTATCTGGGAGTTGTAAAGCACCGAAGAATATTTAAAAAGAAAATTAAAATTTTGTCTATTATTATAAACTCTCAAAACAACAACAACAACAACAACAACAACAACAACAACAACAACAACAATAATAATAATAATAACAACAACTCTTTCAAATTAGCTTTAAAAAAATGTTAAAAGAATTGAGCTAGACTAGCCGGTTAGACCAATTCAATTATTAGACCCCTAAATTAGCTTTGCTCAACTCGAAAATTTTCGATTATTAGGGGTCCGCTTGACAGAGCTAATATTTCTTGTAAACAAGTTTTAAGTTGACTTAAAGCTCTTTTTACTCAACAGAATATTTAAGGTTTGTTTGAGCCACATTATTTTCAAAAAAATATATTTTTCAACAGTGATTTGACATCATTTGAACCACATATTTTTCAATAAAATAGTATTACACGCAAATTTAAAACATTTCTTTATTTTTTAACCATATATTTTCCATTAATTTGACCTGAATAATACATATTTTTTTCTAAATTGTGGCTCAAATATGGGCTTAAAAAAAACATATCAAAATATTTTCAAAGTAACTTCTCAGAAGTAATTTTCGAATTTTTAAAACTTTTGTTTAAGGGACCCTAACTTCTTGATCTTTTACTTTTTTTGATTCAATACGCTTTCAGTCTTTCAAGCTTTGTTAAAAATTTTAGAACTTTAATAGATTACAGAATGGCCTTGTCCCCATTTATAACTCGCTATATGAAGTTTAAATTTGGAAAAAGTGTGGTTGGAGCTCCAAACTTTTCAATTAGTTGTAAACTGCATTCAAATTTTTGACTTGTTGCACCCATAGTCCCAGACTTCCATTTTATCGTACCTGGAGGATAAATGGATAGAATCGTTCAGGAGCAACGAAATGAGCGATTTAGGATTGTGGGTGCAAGAGGTTAAAGTATGGGTATAATATGCAACTAAGTGAAAAGTTGAGGGCCCCGTTTGCAATTTTTCCTTTAGAGCTCCGTTAAACCTCTGCTCGAAGTACCCAGCGGCAACGCGCGACAAAATGACCACCGCAACGTCTTCCTCCACCTTTCTCCTCCCAACTTCACAGTTCCACCACCGCCGTCAATGTACAACTCTACTATGCACCAAGTCCTTGACCTTCACTCCACTCGCTTTCCCTCCTCCCTCTCTCCTAATACACCGCCGTTTCACTCCTTCCCCCATCTCTGCTTCTCTCAAGGTACAGATTTTCTGCCTTATATTTTCCACTTCTTCCTTAATTTTAAATTAATGGAATTATTTTAATTATTTATTGGCGTTTCAATCATGAAGGAAAAAATTGGGGGCATTAAAAAGACATGGAGTGATATAAGTAGCTTGAACTACTGGGTGGTTAAAGACTATTACAGACTTGTTAAATCCGTTAATGCCCTTGAACCTAGACTTCAAAATCTCTCCGATGAACAGGTTTTTTGATAACTTATTCATTCTTATGGCTCTGTGGAGCTCCAGAGCTTTATTTGGAATGTGTTTTTAGTATATCTTTGATCATTTTGTATGGATATTATTGTAGCTAAAAGCACTGACAATGGAATTTCGGGTCAGATTAAACCGGGGAGAGACATTAGCTGATATTCAAGCTGGTGTGCAATTTACGTAATATCTATTTTTTGATGAGTTTTGGTTAAAGACAACATTTTTATTGTTGTTTTGTATAAAAGCTCAAATTTTATATAGCCTCTTATTGAGTTTTATTTGTTGATGGATTTTTTTTCACGGATTTCAAATTGTGATTTATTGTCTTTCATAATGTGCATATGCAGAGGCTTTTGCTCTTGTTCGTGAAGCTGCAAAAAGGAAGCTTGGAATGCGCCATTTCGATGTTCAGGTTGCATATCATGGGCTAAATATTTGTATGTAGTATGTATGCAATACTGTTGTTTGTAATGGAGGCAGATGAAAGAATATGACAGCATGTGTCAGATAATTATATCATGTGGTCTTGGTAAAACTGGCTGCTTGTTTAATTTTGGAGAAATTATAATATGGACATGCTCCCATTGTCGGAATTTAGACACACAAAGTACGCTTCGGAGTGGAGTGGGCATATGATGGTGGAACATGCTTGAAATGGGATGGGCTTATTGTTGCTATTCAGGATGAGGCAATAGCGCCTTCATAAGGTGTCTTTCGAACTAAGGACCAAACGAAGTGGGCCTGGGGTGCATTTCCGGGCCTTATTCTAAGTGATATAGGTTGGATAGTACCTCCCTAGTAGCTATAGCTTTTGGGTAAAGTAGTTACAATTCTCTGCATCACGTTTACTGTAATTACTTAAATCTCAATAGGTATTAACTACTGTGAACGCTCTTCTGGCCACTGTGAATTTCAATACGTGGATGGGGCAGTAGTGTGCTTTACTTTATTGAAAGTTCATTTCATAGTAATAAATGTGTGGTTTAAGTTTCTATCAGGCATGCACTGAATGTTTGTTTCTCAACCTTTAAACTTAAAATCTGTTCACAAACATTTTCTATACAGATTATTGGTGGAGCTGTGCTTCATGATGGTTCAATTGCGGAGATGAAAACTGGAGAAGGGAAAACCCTAGTATCCACTTTAGCTGCATATCTCAATGCCCTCAGTGGGGAGGGCGTTCATGGTATGTATTTCCTGCAGTCTCGACTTATCAAAAATTGTCTTGGGAACTGGCTTGTATGTATGAGTGATGATATACACATATAGGTTTTGAAGAATCAAATGTAATTAACTCAGACGTTTACGTTTATTGATCACTTGCTTGAAATGTGTCAAGACTACATGAATTAGGAGGAATACCATGTGCTGATATGTAATGGGGCCTGTTAAAGTTTTGTGTATTTTTTGCCCCAGAATTCTTAATACATTCCTTTTTTCTGACAGTGGTTACAGTTAATGATTACCTTGCTCAAAGAGATGCTGAATGGATGGGTCGTGTGCATCGTTTCCTAGGTCTCTCAGTTGGACTTATACAAGTAACTTTCTGCAAACCTTGTCTTTTTCTTTGGTTATCAATGTTCCAGTTTAAAAAAAGGGTTTCTTATCCGCAAGAAAGAAAAAGTTCTCTTTAGTTAAATGTTATGTAGCCAAAAACAGTTGCGCCAAAGTCTTTTGCAGGAAAAATTTATATTTTGTACATTTTTGGGGGGTTTGGGGAAAGCAAAGGTCATCCCTAGTGTCCAGCCAGTTGGACCAAATAGGAAAAGAATGATGTTTATTCATTAGAAGATAAATGACTATCAATAACTTTAGGAAATATTGGTAATATCTTAATGATTCGTTCTTTATATTCAGCCAAATTTCCATCCCTAAGAAAAAATGTTTAATCTTTTTCAAGATATATAATAATATTAAAAAAACTGACTACTGTATAAAAATTCTCCCTTATTATGTTGTTATGTACGTAGAGGGGGATGACGCCCAAGGAGAGAAGATCCAACTATGGATGTGACATAACCTATACTAATAATTCAGTAAGTATCAACTGTGTTTCGTGTCGTGTACGAACAAATTATTGCTGATTGTCTCTTTTTGTTGGCTTCTATTGGTCGAATGTTAGTTCACCTTCTTCCATTTTCATTTTTAACTTTTCTTCTTTCGGCCTTAGGAACTTGGTTTTGATTATTTACGAGATAATCTTGCTGGAAGCAATGAGCAACTTGTGATGAGATGGTAACCTGTTACACCTCATGCTCTTTGGTATATGTGGTCGTATATAGAGACTATCTAACAAGTTCCATTTAAAACAGGCCAAAGCCCTTCCATTTTGCAATAGTTGATGAAGTTGATTCTGTCCTCATAGATGAAGGACGAAATCCTTTGTTGATAAGCGGTGAGGTAATGTTGAATAACTACAAATAATCTGCATACACACAGCTTCTGTTAACTGATGGTTGACAGTGCCCTTATGCCCCCCCACACACACGCACACACCAAAAAAAAAAAAAAAAAAAAAAAAAAAAAAAGAAAAAAGGTAGAAGGCAAAAAATAAGAAAAATTACACTGAGACATTTGCCTGTAATTTTTGTGTAAATCCTGGTAATCCATATAGGTTCTTTTCTTTTTTTCTTTTTTCTTTTTCTTTTTTTTGGTTCCACTTCCACTTAAACTTTTTTATTCCAGGCAAGTAAAGATGCTGCAAGATATCCAGTTGCTGCTAAAGTTGCTGAACTGCTCATACGAGGACTTGTAAGTCCCGATTTCTTGCTTATTTTTACGTCAACGATGCTCTAGTTTTCCTTAACCATGTTGCAAAATTGAAATAGAAGTCAAAAGTCTTCCTTAACCATGTTGCAAAATTGTAATAAAAGTCTTTTTGACTTTCATTTCTATTTACAGCATTACAACGTGGAGCTTAAGGATAATTCTGTGGAACTTACAGAGGAAGGAATAGTGCTAGCTGAGATGGCTCTTGAAACAAATGATCTATGGGATGAGAATGATCCTTGGGCTAGGTGAATATGAATTATATTTCTTAACTTTTGTGTGGTCTTATCTTTTGAATTATGTTATGAATTTTTCTTCTTCCTTGGACACTATCATAATTGTAATGCTTGTGCATACGACCCTTTTATTATATAAATTCTTTCAATTCATTGAACCCAGTCCATAAAATCGTCCATAAAATCATCAAGATATTTTTTTGCGCTGCTTCAGTGTACATTTCTGATCTTGTGTTTCATAACATCTTTGAAATTTTTTATATATTTTTTGTGACTGCAGATTTGTTTTGAATGCATTGAAAGCCAAAGAGTTCTACAGGCGTGATGTCCAATACATAGTCCGAAATGGGAAGGCTCTGATAATAAACGAGGTATGGGGCGACTAATAGTATCTCATTCAGTTATTTCTTGGATTTGTTTGTCATTTTATGGCTCCTAAAAGATGTTCCTGATCTAATAACAGCCCCCCTTGCGGATCTATTTATATTGTTACAAAAAGGAAAATCTAGAAAAAAGGAAAATCAGCTGGGTTAATGCGAGTTCTGAATACCCTTAATATAGGGGAAGCTCACAAAATGTAGAAGTATTAACTTAGTAATGTCTACTTTCTTGATAAAATGTATATATTGTGAAGAGCTGCCAATAATTTGTTGACGCAGGAATATTGTGATAATTAAAATGTGCATTTGTCTGCTTATTTTTGTTGATTTACTTCAGGCTTCCTTTTAGCCTCTGGTAGAACAAACGTATAATTGATTCTGTTGCTAATCAATTGCTTGATTACTGTTGGAACATTATCTGCACACTCACAATCATATAGAATATCTGTTCATGTCCTTTTGCTGTATAAGTAATATTTTCAGTTTTTCTTTTGTAGTTGACGGGTAGAGTAGAAGAAAAAAGGCGGTGGTCTGAGGGCATCCATCAGGCTGTAGAGGCTAAAGAAGGCCTGAAAATTCAGGTTTAACAATTGCTTTCCGAGAGTTGTCTGTTGTGATCTCATTTTAAATCACCCATTTTATTAATCTTGCAAGTTTGTTGAATTTGTTAGGCTGATTCAGTTGTTGTGGCCCAAATCACTTACCAATCGCTATTCAAACTATACCCGAAGCTTTCAGGGATGACCGGGACTGCAAAAACTGAGGTATAGGCATCTTCGTGAATGCAAATGGATTTTCAGAAAAAGAGAGGTTTCTTATTCATTTAAAAAAAAAAATAAATAAATAAAAATTTGTTCATTACTGTAGGAGAAGGAATTCTTGAAAATGTTTCAAATGCCAGTTATTGAAGTACCCACAAATCTGCCAAATATTCGTAAAGATTTACCCATTCAAGCTTTTGCGGTAAGACTCTAACTACTAAACATCTTTTCCACGATCTTCTCTATGTTTTTCTAGAGGACCATCATTGCTTTGATTGTGTTTCAAATTTTATTTGTTCTTAGACTGCTCGAGGAAAATGGCAACATGTTCGTGGAGAAGTTGAGTCCATGTTTAGGTTTGGTCGTCCTGTTTTAGTTGGGACAACCAGGTACTTTCTGTCTCATTTTCCTTTGAAGTTGATTCCCGTGCCTTGTGGGATGATTTGGAGTATTTGTAGGTGAACTGATGGGTTGCTATGTATTTGTGATCTACCATTTCCTTTCTTATGCATGTATACTACATAATAAGGATGACCACAAACAATTTGTCTAGAGTTGAGTTGTTTGAAGCATAACCGAGTATCAGTCCCAAAGACAGAACATAGAATGCTAGTATTTATTGTTAAAGGTAGCATTTCTGAACAGCAATGGATATAGCTACAGATATGATGTTCGCTCCATAGAAATTCCTTGTTCTCAGATATTAGATGAAGGATATAGATAATCTAGGTTAAATAACAACACAACAAATGGTAAACATTTTGGAAGAAGTAGCCCGTCCATGTGCAAATGACAGCAGAAAAATTTAAGAAGCTTCAGCATGGCAGTGGCATCCTCAAGTATTTGGGTTGGCATTCAATTCCTCCATATAAGATAACTTAGACATAAGTAAGATAAGTTAGACATGAGTTGTTTGATATGTTCCTGTCTTTTCTAAATGTTTCTGCTAAATGGATCTCATCTGAGGAGCTCATAATTTATTTTCTGTTGGCATTGGAGCCCTTTTTATAAGCAGTGTATATGTTTATGTAATATCTCTTCTTCCTATTCGAGAACTTTCTATTATTTGTCTTTTGAGCAACCTGATGTCAGCAGGTCATATTTTAGTTTCATTGATGCAGTGTCGAAAATTCTGAACTTCTATCAGCTTTGCTGAGGGAAAGGAAAATTCCCCACAATGTCCTCAATGCACGCCCCAAGGTTTAGTAGGGCATCGTCTTGTGATCCTTACTTGAACACTGGATATGTAGTTTGTTCTGAATCTCGTTTTGCATATCTTACACAGTATGCAGCAAGAGAAGCTGAAATTGTTGCCCAGGCAGGAAGAAAACATGCAATCACCATATCAACAAATATGGCTGGCAGGGGGACTGACATAATCTTAGGGGGAAATCCAAAGGTAGATCTACTCTCTAGGCGTTCTTATTTAGAGTAACTTAAATATGGTGTTGCATTTTTTACTTGAGAGACGAAATTAATTATCTTTCATTTTATATCTCCTTGAATTTTGGCATCCTTGACAGTTTATTGTAATACCTACAAGCATCATGATATTCTTATCCAACAATTACGAGTCATATAATGATGCTGTTTCTCAGATGCTTGCTAAAGAAGTCTTGGAGGAAAGCTTGCTCACATCTCTGACCCAGAAAGTTCCCAATGTTGAAATTGATGGAGCCCCAACTTCGGAAAAGGCAATTATTGATTTTACCATGAAGAAGTGAAGGAAATGACTTTTTCTTCAATACTCCTAAAACACTTCTTTGCCCCCATGTAGGTGTTATCTAAGGTGAAAGTCGGACCATCATCACAAGCTTTGCTAGCTAAGACTGCTCTGATAGGTTAGTGTCATCACTCATTGGATTTAAATATCAATTTTATTAGGCATACTCATTATTAATCTTTGTTTGATCTAAAATAATTAGCAAAAAATATTTTTTTTGAATGTGAACCGCAGCTAAATATGTATGCAAAAGTGAGGGTAAGAGGTGGACATTAGAGGAGGCAAGAAGTATAATTTCTGAGTCTGTTGAGATGAGCCAGTCAACAGACTTGAAGGAAATACAAAGACTTGTTGATGAACAGGCAGAAATGTACCCTCTTGGTCCATCAATAGCTCTTACATATCTATCAGTTCTGAAAGAGTGTGAATTTCACTGTTTCAACGAAGGATTAGAAGTGAAAAAGCTTGGTGGTCTTCATGTCATTGGGACATCTTTACACGAGTCCAGGAGAATTGATAACCAGGTTAGTCATTAAAACTGGGAGTTTACGGGAGAAAGAAATTCTTAAAGGAAAAATTATTTGGATTTAGACAGGATTTCACAGTGATGCACTTTCTTTAACACGACCATGCTATTATATTACGTTTATGTGCTTGTTAATTCCATATCTTGGACCATTTACTGTTTATAATCTCTTTCTCTCCATCAATGGATTTTTAAGCTTTTCGTCTCAAGCTACTTTCATTGTTTCTGTATATCAATCATTTGCATGATCCTAATTAGGAAATTACATGCTTCTTTGTAGCTACGTGGCAGAGCAGGCAGGCAAGGGGATCCTGGATCAACAAGGTTTATGGTGAGGTAAAATGCTAAACGTAAAAATTTTAAGTTCATGACTTTAAAATGTCTGTTAAATTAGAAAATTAAGAATCGTTTTTAGCTAACATAGTCACATATGGGAAATTTAGCAATTGCCAAACCTGGATTCTGAAGATATACAAGACTCTTAAATACTTCAGCAATTTGTTTGACTATGATGTGGAAGAAGATATTTGCAATAATTAGGATTGTAAAATCCCTTTTTCGAGTCCCGGGGTCACCAAATTTGCTAGAGATTAGCATGCATCTCCATGTGCCCTGTCCATGTTTTTGGACGTCTCGTCATTGATATATAATACCATAACCAATACTGACCTGTACTGGAACAGCTTGCAAGATGAGATGTTTCAGAAGTTCAATTTTGACACTGAGTGGGCAGTAAAACTTATATCAAGAATCACAAATGACGAGGATATCCCAATTGAGGGTGATGCAATTGTGAAACAGGTATAATTCGGTGGCATCAGATATATTCCTGTTCATTTCCTTCTGTCTCTCTCTTTCTTCCCATTCACTGTCTGGCGAATTTTTTTCTTTTCATTTCTTTCTTTCTTTTGAATCACATATACATATATTGACATGCGTATAAATTTCACCAATGTTTTCTTCTATTATTCCCGCATATGTTATATTTTTTACTGTGAAAAAACGATTTTCCTTTCAGCTTTTGTCCCTACAAATTAATGCTGAAAAGTACTTCTTTGGCATACGGAAGAGTCTAGTAGAATTTGATGAAGTTTTAGAGGTACGTTCTGGACTTCTTGCACATGAGAGTCTTATTCACTTCACCGTGTTATTTAGTTTTAAAGCATTATTTGACTTTTTTCTCAGATATCGTAGTCTTCCATATTCTTACCTGTCTGGTTTTAAGCAATTCCGATATTATTGTCAACATGTAGTGATAACCTAAAAGTGAGATAACTATGTTAGCGAGCCTATTCAATTTCAGAGATCCAATTACCACCCAAATAGCTTTGTCTTCATATCAAATTGTGATCTTCGTTTTTTGAGCATATTTTGGCTGAATGTAGATTTGAGAATATATTGTACCTTACAGGTGCAAAGAAAGCATGTCTATGATCTTCGCCAATTGATATTAACAGGTGATTCTGAAAGTTGTTCACAGCACATTTTCCAGTGAGTACCATTTCCTTGATTTTCCAGAAACCATCTTGGTCCCCAACTTTTCTTTCTTTGTCATGCTCAAAATTGTATTGTCCCATTTTCAATGAACCAACCCAGTATAAATAGCTCTTCAAAAATTGCAGTATGATTACAAAAAAGGCATAACACTGCCAATCTGATGTTTTCTGATTCTTCCTAGGTACATGCAAGCAGTGGCAGATGAAATTGTTTTCAAGAATGTTGATCCAACAAAGGTAATGAAACTCTGTAGAATGCATTTATTAATACATTGCTTCGTTGCGCAATTCCTTTTTTTCTACGCTTTGAATCTTTTCCAGCTGATTCTTTTGAATCTTATAGCATCCAAGCAGCTGGAGTTTGAGCAAGCTGTTGAAGGAATTTAATGTCATTTCAGAGAAAATATTGAATGGTGTGCTTGATTCTCGTATCATTGGCTAGTTTCTCGTCTTCTTTAAATATTTATTCTTACGTAGAGGAATACTTTTAGACTCATTCTCAGGGGTTACTCAGGAAGCCTTGCTGCAATCACTTTCTCAACTTCATGAGTCATATTCTGTGAATATAAATGACTTTCACCTTCCTAATTTGCCTTTACCACCAAATTCATTTCGCGGTATCCGTATGAAGAGCTCATCATTGAAACGCTGGCTAGCCATAATATCTGATGATTCCACAAAGTGCGTATGTATTTTTATTTTTATTTTTTCATGTCCTATGTTTCAAATTTTGATTATTGTTTTTTCTTTGGATACTTGCTATTAGAGATGGAAAGTACAGATCGACCGTTAATCTTCTTCGCAAGTACCTTGGAGATTTTTTAATTGCTTCATATTTAGACGTGATTCAAGAATCAGGGTATGATGTTGCATATGTGAAGGAAATAGAGGTATAAACACACTTCTCAATTTCAAGCCATTGAATTCGTGTTGGACAAATATTAATATTCTCGTCTAGGAAAGAGGCATGGATAAATTCTTTCAATATGATTCCTTATTGGCAGGATTACATTCCTTCTTTTGAATCTTCTGTTGGCTCTACAATGTATTTGGTTCTTTTCCACAAATTAATTTCTGCATTGTATACAGAGGGCAGTTCTTGTGAAGACCCTGGATTGCTTCTGGAGGGATCACCTTGTAAACATGAACAGGCTTAGCTCAGCTGTATACTCTACTTTTTTGCTACTCATAATATGCTTCCCTGTAAGAAAAATTACAAATGTACATTTGTATCCTTATTCTTTTCTCTTTTTAGGTAAATGTGAGGAGCTTTGGGCATAGAAACCCTCTTGAGGAATATAAAATTGATGGTTGTCGATTTTTCATATCAATGCTTAGTGCAATAAGGAGGGTAACTGTGGAATCACTCTTGCGGTATTGGTCATCTCCAATGGAGTCTCAAGAATTGTATTTATCATAGAAGAATATTGGTTTCTCTTGCAAATGTAGGTGAAGTTCGATTCTCAATTTCTAGTACCTTATTTCTTTTAATTTTGAATTTATAGATGCCTATTCTCTCTCATGTCATTGGTTGATTGTTTTTCTATATCTTCATCCCCACCATAAATGATCAACTTTTTTGATTGAATAAACTTTCTAAGATATTGTTTTCGCTCCTTTTGTATGAACATATTTATCCTTTCCATATCATCTCTGTATTCATTCTCGAATAGCAGACTACATAGCAGTAATAAACCTTTTTGGTTGCAGATATGCATAGTAATGGTTTTCAAAATACGTTTATTTTCCAAGATGCGGTGAAGTTGATTCATTTGCACAGAAATATATGTTCACTACATTGCAGAAAAAGGGAATCAAGGTAAGATATTGATCATATAATTCCTGTTCATGTCATAACTTGAATACATTTTATGGCTTTATATTTAATGCGGACGATTTTTTGGCGGATTAGTTTGAACAATGACACGTTACAGAACTGCGTGACGTAAGTCAGCAAGATATTAGTCGAGATTGTTTTCCCATTAACAGAGAAATTAGATGAAATTTTTCAGCTCTGCAGGGGGCTGTGTAGAGATGAGATGTAGATCTGCAGTTCTGAAAGTAAACTAGTTCAACACAGAAAGCAAGGATTTTATTGCTGAAGGCGAGAAATGAGAAGATTAGGAAAAGCCTCTGCTCGAAGGCAAGGTACGTAGAACAGACAATACACTCGCCCTGATGGCTTTCCAGTTACCTTCTCCACTATCTCGGACTGTTGTCAAAGAACATGAACACATTCTCTTAATGAAGATGGCATGTTAAAAAGACATTTAGAGGTGCATAAAAGTTATATATGGCTGCAGGAACTCAATCGACATCTGGTGGAGCCCTGTGCTGAATAAGTAGAAGTTAAACTCGCCAATCCTCGACTACGAATAATGGCAATCCTCGACTACGGATAATGGCAAACAACATTCTTGAGATGGCAAGTCGTACAAATGGCACAAGTTCAGAGTTTTGTGCAAAAATGCCCAGTAAAATGTAGAAATGGTGAAGATGCTTGGCAGCATACAGAACAGATTTATACTCTCAGGCTTATGATTGTATTATTTATTGTTATACAAACTTATTATGTGACATTTATATAAATTATTAGTCATAGTTAGACGTAAGTAAGTTATTTCGAAATCTTTTATAAGTGTTGCAAAAATATTATTTGAAGATGATGCGTCATATAAATACTAGTTACATAAATTCAAACGTTATTTTAAATGTGTTGGAAAACGCATAATCAATTTAGAATTAATATTAATAACAGTGTGGATGTGAATATTGATTAATAATTTTAATTCATTTATAATGAATATAATTTAATGTATAATTAAGCTTTTCAAATGCATATTGGTGATACTTCTTCTTCTTCTTATTATTATTATTTGCATTTAAATATTACTGAGATCTGAATTGTGGAGAAGACCATCAATTGCGACTGAGTAAATGCAAAATAGCATTTCTAGCAAAGAGTATGGGCAACACGAACAAAAATGCACTTTGAACGATACATTCTATCAAACTGAACTATTCAATTCAATAGAAAGAACTCCCGCATTTGTTGAGATATGGGATAATTAAAGATAACGTGGATGCTAGTTTGATATGTTGCTTATGAAGTTAACATCTAATTGCTCGTGATGAAGGGACACACTAGACGTATAAGAATATCAAAAAATGCACGTTAAATAATTTTTTTTTTTTTTTTTTTTTTTTTTTTTTTTTTTTTTTAAAAAAAAAAAAAAAAAATATACGTTATTTAAAACTTAAAAAATGGGAGGTTCATATAATTTTTCAAAAAGAATAAGATTTCTCTGAAATTGTATCAAACCTCAAGGGAGATACGAATTATTCAAACCTTGAAATTAGGAATGTTTATGTAATGTTTTAAAGAGAGGGGATATCTCTGAAGTTATAATAAATCTCAGCAAAACCACTATAATTTGTCCAAAAAAATAATATGCATACCAATTATCTAATTTTATTGAGTACTAGATCGGAACGTTGTACATATATACATGCAATGTGATTAAGCCTGTTTTATAATTTTAAGGATTGATCTGAGTGTACAGGCTATGAACTTACAGAGCTCTTACGGACTACTCCCATAGAGTTCGGACTCACTTGGGCCCCTGTGTAATAAACTATGACAAAAAAAAAATTGTCGATCCTATCCATTATGAGTACTTGTAGGAGGTCTGTAAAATGGAGATCCTGTACTCCCAACATGGTTGTAATTTTGAATTACTTGTTGTATAACCATCAATAGTTACTTTGTACAAGCAACTTTGCAGCGGGGTAAGTTTCATGATGACTAATTTGTGGTGTATAGTTAGGATGGTCTCGAGTTTATATCAAAATCCAACTTCTTTATGTATTCTATAAAGTATTAAATTTTAAAGGTAAATTCTAAAATGATTCCTTATTAATCTTTTTGTTCATTTCATTTAATTAAATCCCGTAGGACATTATATCAAAATCATTTTTTATGATATATACAAAATTAATAAAATATAATTTGTTAAAATATAATGTGTTGCAAATGAATCGACTCATGCTATAAAAAGTAAATTTAAAAAAAAAAAAGATTTAAGTCTATGTTTTAGGTGTATTTTTGGTAACATACAAATAGTAATGAAAGCAAGTACATGATCCTGCATGGAGCTCAACTTGCCTTTTCATTCTTAATCATCTTTGCTAAATTACTCTAAAATACGCATTTGTTCATTTGTTGGTTATCAATTATCATACACAAGAAAGTTGATGTCAAACCGTAATTGATTATAAACAAAGAATTATGAAATTCAACAATGAAAAATTTTGCCTTAAAAAGTTTCTCCACCAACCTTTCGATGAAACAACTTAAAAATGACTTTTTATGACTCAAGAAAAAATCGTTATATATATATATATATATATAACGAGAAATTTTTCCTTAAAAAGTTTCTCCACCAACCTTTTGATGAAACAACTTAAAAATGACTTTTCGTGTATATATATATATATAAAAGAAATGCTACTATATATATAATATGTATTCAAAAAGGTGTATTCCTACTAAATATATAAATAAAATTAGAGTTACCTATTTGTTCAACGGATAAAATTACTATTTGGTCACTGGGTAAATTTCGAAATGAGAAGTGTTACTGCAATGTGAGTCGAATCAAGAGATTTTTATGAAATTTAATTTTTAGCCTAATTTAAATTCTCTCAATTTATAACTCCCATTTTTAGTGAATAGTAACATATTATTTATTTATGTACCAACTAATTACAACAAAAATAAAAAAGAAAAACTATGTACAGAACTTACATAATAACAGAGAATCTTGGGTTCAAAAAAATAAACAGAAATAACAGAAAAAGACACATAAATGTATGATTTATACTATTCATTAACTTAATTACCAAGTATTTGCCTTTTAAACTAAATAGACTTCAGACCCTTAAACCAAATTTTAATACTAATTTAACCAATAGATCCATTCTGAAGTCAGATGTATGAATCCCAATGCAACATTTTGATTAAGATGATTTGTCAAATGATTTTTATAATAATTGAAATTAAAACTGTGACAAAGACCAGAAAACAAATCTATGTACATGCACCCTAGACTACATTTCCTGTAACACACATCCTGAAAATATGAATTAATGCCTTGAGAGTTACAACATTTGTCAGCATTAACATGTGGCTTGCAGGTTTACATTAATTTGAAGTGAATTATTATTGCATATATATAAACACACATACATATAATTTAATCTTGGTGCATGAATGTTACCACATTAATAATTTTTACTTTCATGATCTCATATGCTTCTAATTTATCTGATGCAAAATAATAACTTTCTTTTACTATAGATAGCAAACGTGATTAAAAAAAAAAAAAAAAATTGGGAGGGGGGGGTCGATGGTTGAGAGATCTTTAATCCTTTTACATAAAAGATCCTTAAATTTATAGCTCAAACAAGCAAATCGTATTTCACTTTTGACATTCTCAAATAACTTATCGTTTCATAGATAGTTCAATTACTCAGGATCATTGTTTTCATATTTTAATGATACAAGGTCTTTATCAATAAGAGATTAAGACGAGATTATAATGCTTTTACTAGGATTAATACAAGATCATATTTTCCAAATTCGGATCAGTATTTTTGGTGGGTAATGTGTTGTCATCAATAATTTTTCGAAGCTGATAGCATCTTTTTAGTGGTTATTGATACTTTTTAGAGGGATTTTTATTCATAAAATTTCGACCTCATCGCTGAGTTAAACATCGTCCAGTTATACTAATTAGTAATTAACACAGCTGGTTGATAAAATTAGTGTGTCAGGATCATAATAAATCAATAAAACAAGCATTATGCTGCCTCCAAAATCTAGGAAATTAGTTAAGAGCTAATCATATATGGCAGAGACATAATAAAATCTAGAAATAATCTTTCTAGATTATATTAACACAAAACCTTAATTTTTTTTAAAATTTTTTTTCCCAAAGAATATTAAAAAATAGATAAGTTTTTTCGAGCTTAGAAAAAAAATTATCTGTGTTGTGTGTTGTCACACCCGTCCTACCCACCTGGGCCAGTGGCCCACTCATCCTGATCCACGTGGCATTCCTGTCGAGGTGACCCACATTGCCGAGGTGGGTTATATCCGAACTGCTTCTAACCAAGGCCCATGGCCCGAGGCGTGGAACTTTTGGTTGTAGCTGAGGTCCTCGAAAGGACGAAGTCCCGAAGTTGATGCGCGAGCCTCAACCACAAGGAAACATCCTCCATGGTCACTTCTCCCAAGAGATCGCCTGCACAGATCTTATTCGAATGATTGATGGAATGTCTGTCATAAGCATAAAGGTCAAGTCTTGTCACTAGCATGGAGGCCCTGCACAAGCAATAAATGCGCCGTAAGCTAGCAAGTCAAATCCCATGCCTAAGAACAGACGTTTAAAACTAAGGAGATGAGGCCACGTGCCACTTCATCCAAGGGCCCCCATTCCATATGTATCACTATAAATGCCCCCATTGTATAATGTCAAAGGGCTAATGCAAGAATCAATACAAAAGACTACATTTACTCAACTCTCTCAGTTACTTGCAATATATAAATAGAATTTATACACTTTCACATATATATCTACGAGCACCGGTTGGTAATTATTGTACAATCGGATCACGAACAACCCGTCGGATCCCGAACGTCACCGTCCCGCGTCGTCGGGCTACTCCCACGCCCCTTTGAACCGCTCGTTTTAGACCGTCCACGTGTCTTAGCGTGTTGGACATTCGCCCACGCAAGCGCGGGTGGGACCGGCATCTGTTGGCTCACTTTTTGGGGTCAACAGATTGACGCCGTCTGTGGGAAACCATACCATAACCACGAGCAACCTTGTGGTAAAAGCTTACTGAAAAACATTTGGGTAACCCCCCTTGAAAAAGGATTTGTTCTTGAAAAAGAACAGGAGGAATCCCTATCACTTAGAGAAATCTAAGTTTGATAAAAGGAAAATGAGTTCTAACGAAGATACTCCCCCAAGGAGGGTAAGAGAAAGTATGAATGTGCCTCCCCAGCCTGTTGCCCCAGCAGCTCGGCTGAGGCTCCACCACCACCAAAGGAGAGGTGGGATGCGTGCGACAGCACGACTATCAAGAGAAATGGCTACCATGACAGCCAACATGAGGGATATAGCCAACCAAAACTTAGCCATGAGGGAGCTCATGGCCCAGATGCAAGGCCAAGGAGGTTTCCCCATTCCTCCATATGCCCCCCATGGGCACTATCAGCAAGAGGATGAGGTCCAAAGTCATAGGGCTGCCTCGCCAGACTATGGCCGAGGTGAAAGTCCATTCGAGATGGAAGTGGGAGTTGACATTTCCTCCAATTATGCATCTGGCCAGCCCTCCGAGGTCCAAACGAGCCATGATAACTTTCCACCTCCATATGAGCAAGACCCAAGACAAAGGAGAGCAGGAAGTGTTTTTGACAGAATCAGCCCCGCCGAACTAAGACCCAGTCAACAGCAGGCTCAGCAGCATCGGACGAGGCCACAGCCTCCACCTCCGATGCCCCAGCAGCCGGAGAGAAGGCATGAAAATGCCCCCCGCGCTGTCCCGCCTAGAAGTAGGCCACAAAGGAGGGAGGAAGAGGCTAGGAACCGGCCCGGACCCTCTCACCAACA